GCTCCACCTGGGCCAGCGCGAGCCCGACGCGGTCGGCGACGTCGCCCTCGGCGACCGCGACGCCATCGGTCTCGACGGCGGGATAGCTCGCCCAGTAGAGGCGCGGCCTCGCCATTGTCGACGCGCCCGCAAAGTCGACGCGCAGAGGATGACGCGCCGTGGCCTCTGACTTTGCAACGGCGTCGCCGATCTTCATGGAGGCTGCTCTCGCAGAGGCCAAGGGCAGGGACGTCGTGGAACACGACCCTCAGCTCTGCCCGCAGCCTAGGGACCTCGGAGAACAGAGCCGAGCGTCGGTCAGCGAGCCCAGCGCCCTCGGGGTCGAACCCGCTGACTCCCCGGCAGGGAGGGCCGCGCGCTCCCGCGACGGCCGCAGCGCCAGGGCAAGCTCGCCCTAGATCCTCGAGCTCGCGCCGAGCCACGTTGCGCGCGTCGGGCCACTCGTCGCCGCCGGCCTAGTACCTGCGGTAGACGCCGCGGGCCGCCTTGTCGGTCTCAGCGCTTGGCGCTCGGGGAGAGAGTGCTGGCTCTGAAACTAAGAGAACTCGACGAAGTCGGTCTCCCCAGAGTCGTCGACACACATGTTCCCGCGCCACCTCTGAGCGGGGCCCTCGCGGACGGGGAATGGCTGGTCTCGCCGCAACTCTTGGCTCGCAACCAGCCTCGCACTTGCCAGCGGGCCATCCGCGACGATCTGCCTGTGCATGCGCCTCACCACTCCAACCGCCGACAGCCAGCCCATCGGCATGACCCTCGCGCAGGCGCGCATCTCCTCGTACTCCGCAAGGCTGATCCACTTCTGCCGCGGCTTCGAGACAGCGAACCAGCGCCGCCACTGAGGCGGCAGAACGCACGAGTGGAAGCACCCCGAGATGTCATCCCCGGAGAAGATGGCCACCTCGTCGTCCATCAGCACGGCCTCAGCGCACCCACCTGGCGATGGAAACTTGTCGATGTCCCCCATGGCGAGGGTCTGTCCAGCATTCGCCGGCGTGAGGTAGACGATCAGACGCCGCTGGTGGCGTGGCCCTTCTTGCGCCTGCCCGCTCTCGGCAACGCCAAAGGCACCGTTGCCCAGCCGCTTCCAGCGAAGCACGGGGGCGCGGGCCTTCTCGATCTCGGCGAGGATCCCACGACCCAGCAGCTGCCCACTGATACAATCCCACTCGTCATCATCGTAGCGCGCCGTGGCTGGCCCCACCTCTGGCCACTCCTCGAGAGGCAAAATGAACTACTCCTCATGCTCGAGGGCATGGCGCACAACGTACCTGCAGAAAATGACTACCGCCAGTTTGGCGCAGCGCTCCGCGGGGGGAAGCCCTGGCTCGATCTGGGCCCGCGTCAACATCTCGGGCTTGGCCGCGATCCCTTCGACGTGCCCGAGCGCGGGGGGCCCGGGCACTTCCCTCCACCAGATAAACTGCATCTCCGCTCAGCTCCGCCTGCGAGTGCAAAAATGCACGGCTGCCTCCCCCGCGCGCCGCGCCGTCTCCTGCTGGGTCGCCGTGCACCGCGGCGCGTCTGACAGACGCCCGTTGGCGATGTAGCCGCGGCCTTCGCGCAGGTTGTTCGCGGGCAGCACTCGCAAGCGCGCCGAGGCCCTGGCCCCGACCTTCCAACGGAAGTGCGCCTATCTTCGCCACGAAACCACATCGCGCACCTGGGATCGCCCAGGCGCTGGGGCAAGACTTCGACGTGCTCGCCCGCGTTGGGCGACGGCGATGGCAGGGCGCCTCGCCCCCTCGCGGCATTTTCGACCGCGCGGCGGGCTGCGTGCGTTGAGCGCCTGCCTGGCCCGCCGTAAAAACCTGGAGGCGCACCTTGGCTATGCCCAAATCCAGATTGCCCAGGGCCTCACCCAGCGCCTTCTTGCCAGCCTCGAACTCGACCTCCATGGCGACGGGGGATGGCGCGCACATCGCCTGCCCCAGGTCCTTCCGGAAGCCCCTCCGCCGCGTGGGGCCGCCGCTCCCCGAGGCCTGGCGCCGCGGAAACTGGCGCCGCTGCGCGCTGGCTCTCGGCGCGCCCGACCTGGCGCCTGATGCCGCGCCCGCTGCGGCCTGCGCCCGACCCCTCGGCCCCCGGCGCGACCGGCGCCGCCCTGGGCCGGGCCCGAGGTGGCGGGGGCGGCGCAAAGGGCGACGCCGCCGATCTGGGCCCGTCCTTGTCCTTCCCCGTCGGGCCCGCCTGGTGCGACTCCTGCGCCTTCGGCTTCGCCGTGGCGTTCGACTTCGGCGTCGCCCCCAGCGCCCGGCGCCTCCTCTTCCTTACCCTCGCCCGCGCGCCCCTCAACGGAGGCCACTCCGTCGTCGGCGAGGCCCGAGGGGCTGCGGCCCCCAGCGGGCGCGGAATCCACTCGGGCCACCCCGCGGGAAGCCCGATTCGCGACGCATCTCACGGGAGCTACTCGCGCAGCCCATCCCCCCGAGCCCTTGGGGGGGCCTGGGCGAGAGATGAGGGCCCTCGCCGAGGCGCTCGACGCCGCGCCCCTGGCGACGCCCCGCGGGCCGCGGACCCGCGCGCGCAGCGGTTCAAGGTGCGATTTCAAGGCCAAGCGGGGGGGCCCGGCGCTGGCGGCGCAGCGCGAGCTGGCGCCCATGCGCTCGATCGGTCTCGCAGTCCCGCCCCAGGAGATGCCCGTCGGACAGATAAAGCTCCGCGGGGCCGAACTCGCGGAGATCGAGGAGAAGGCCAAGAAGAGCGAGGGGCCCCGCCAGGGAGTCGGGGGCCTCGGGCGGGGGGCCGCCCAGCCCGAGGCGAATCGTCAGACGAGCGCGGCGACGGGGCCAGCGACGAGGGCCGCGGGGGACAACCCGGATAGCGCTCGATCTCTTCGATCGCCGGCTGCAGGGGCCGCCCCGGACACCCGCGCGCGAAGGGCGCCAGGTCCTCGCCCGCCCAGGGAAGAGCCAAGCGAAAACCCAACCCCTCGCTGTCTTTCCCCTCGCTGCCGCGCCCCCCGCCAGCGGCGGTCGCCAGCCTCGGCCCCGGCCTCGGCCGTCGGCCCGCCTCGGGCGGGTCGGCCGCGACATTGGCCGCGATTCGCGCCGCTCGCTCTGCCGAGACCTCGCCGACAGCCATCGCCGCGGGGCTCCTTCAGACCCCCGTGGCCGTCAGGCTTGAGCTTCGCCAGCAACTCCGCAAGGCGCCCCTCCAAGTCTGGCCCGCGCGACGCTGCTGCGCTGCCATCCGCGGGGGCGCCGAGGGCGCCGTCGTCCGCGCCGAACACAGCGGCCCCTCCCGCAGGGTCGCCCCTCTCCCCTCTCGCTCGCAGGCGGAGTCGGGGGGGCCTCGATAGGGGGTTGCGGCGATGGGCGAGGGGCGTCGACGAGGTCGGGGCACAACCGGTACGAGTCCACGTGAACCAGCCCTCTGCCCTTGTTTGGAATCGCGACCAGGCAATCGCCTGCAGCGCCCTCGCAAAAGTGCACGAGTCCGTCACCACCAGGGCCACTTAGCAGTGAGGACAGCCAGGCGGCGCCCGACCCCTTCACCACGTCCATGAACTCGCCCTCCAGAAAGCACCCGTTCCTGCCATTGACGGTGCACGACCCGCCGTTGGCGACAACGACGAAATGCCTGGCGAACCCGCGGCACTCACCCCTGCAATCGAGAACCTCGCCGTTGGTCTTTCAGGTCTCGGGGCGCCGCATCTTGGGTTCCGCCCTCGCCTTGGCCTGTGCCGCAGCCTTGCCGAAAAGGCCTGGGACAGGGCGGCGGCTCCTCGTCGTCGACGGGCGCGGGAATGTCATCATCAGGCCTGCTCTTCCCGCGGCTGCGCCGCTTCTTCTTGGGCTTCGCCCCACCCCCCTCGTTTCTGGCTGATGCAGGCCGCTTGACAGCCCCGCCTGAGCCTGGCGGCGAGACAAACGCAAGGCGGCCCTTCTTGATCATTCCCGCCATGCGGGCGGTTCGGCGCCGCCCCGCGGGCGGATGGGCGTCCCCGGCGCCCCTTGCCCGCAGGCGACGAACGCCCTGACGGGCGGACCCGCTTCGGGGGCGGCGCGCCCCCCGCAGGCGCTGCAGGCCCGCCACCTCTGGGCGGCATGGCCAGCCGCGCGCGCGTGAGCGACAGAATGGGGGGGCGCGCCGCCACAACAGCTTTGGACCTTTGAGCCCAGACAACTACGGAAGAAGCCGTCGAGTTTCCTCAGACATTCCCCGCCGCACTCCCGTGCAATATGGTGAACCAAAGAGCACATGCATCATCATCATCATCATCATCATCATCATCATCATCATCATCATCATCATCATCATCATCATCATCATCATCATCATCATCATCATCATCATCATCATCATCATCATCATCATCATCATCATCATCATCATCATCATCATCATCATCATCATCATCATCATCATCATCATCATCATCATCATCATCATCACCATCACCATCACCATCACCATCACCATCATCATCATCATCATCATCATCATCATCATCATCATCATCATCATCAACACCATCATCACGATCATCACGATCATCATCATCATCATAATCATAATCATCAGAATCATCATCGTCATCATCATCATAATCATAATCATCAGAATCATCATCGTCATCATCATCATCATCATCATCATAATCATGACCAGCATCATCAGCATCATCATGACCATCATCATCATCATCATCATCATCATAACCAGCACCAGCATCAGCATCACAATCAGCATCATCACAATCATCAGCAGCATCAGCATCAGCTTCAGCATCACAATCAGCATCAGCATCAGCATCTTCATCATCAGCAGCATCATGATCATGATCATGATCATGATCATCATCATCAACATCATCATCATCACCATCATTATTGTCAACATCATCTTCAGCAGCAGCGTCGGCATCAGCATCATAATCCACAGCAGCAGCAGCAGCATCATCATCATCAACATCGTCATCCTCTCGTGAGTCGCACTCATGGCCTACCCCTCCTTTGCCAGAGTGAGCACTCCGCCCTGCGCCCAACTCCGCCAGGAGCCAGAGCATGCTGGAAGTCGTTGCCGCCTATGTGTATGACCGCCAAGGTAGGCCCTCCACCCAACCACCGCGCAGGCAGCTCCACTATGGAAAACACAATGACAGAGAAGCACAATGCAAACGAGCGGCATCATTCACGCGGGGGAACATCAGCCAACCTGTTTGCCATCAGGTTGCGAGGGCCAACCTTCAACAAATAAGCAATGTAGTTATCCAAAAGGGGGTTCTTGGTGCCGTAAAATCAAGCCCCAAAACAATGCTACCGTCCGCAAGCGCCACTGACAAAAAAAAACGAATCCCACCAGCCCTCTGGGCGTAGGTGGTCTAGAGCAGATCCTCTTCCACCCCTCCCTCTTCCCCCTTGGGGAGGGGTTTACCCCTCCCCCTACCCCCTCCCCTGGACCTGGACGGGGGGGGCCGCGGGTAGTTAGAGCGTCCAAGATGGCCCAAGACGGCTCCAAGAGCGCCTCAGAGAACCCAAGATGAGCTCCAAGATGGCTCAAGATAGCGCAAGATCGCTCACGATGGCTCCTAAGATGGTTCCAAGAAGCCCAAAGACGGCCCCAAGATAACTCCAAGTGGCCAAACAGCTCCCCAAGGAGGCCCCGAAGAGGCCAAAATCGTCCCAAAACCTAAGGAAAATCAATGATTTTTGCTTTCTCGCCTTTTCGCTTCCGATGGCCATCCGAGGCCTGGAGATGGCTCCAAGATGGCCCAAGAGGGCCCCAAGAGAGCCCAAAAGAGCCCCAAGACGGCCCCAAGAGCGCCCAAGAGCACTCCAAGAGCGTTCCAAGAGGGGTCCAAGAGGCGATTTTAGGGGCTTCCGAGGGGGGGCGCTAATTGAACCCCCCCTCTTGTTTGATCGACTCCCTCCAAGATGGCCCCAAAAGCGCCCCGAAGGCTCCCCAGAGCGCCTCAAGAGGGTCCCAAGAGGCGCCCAAGATGCCCCAAGGCGCCCAAAAAGCCCTCCAAGAGGCCCTCAAAAGACCCCCAAGAAGCTCCTTCCCCTCCTCCTCCTCCTCCTCCGATTCTTCCTCCTTCTCCGTCCTCCTCCTCCTCCTCCTCCTCCTCCTCTTCCCCCTCCTCCTCCTCCTCCTCCGACGACGACGACGACGACGACGACGACTCCTCTTCCATCCTCCCCCTCTCGGGGTCTGTGACAGCTTCCCCCGCCCTTTGTTATTCTGCATGCTCCCCGACTTCCCTGATCACCTCAACTCCCCTGAGCATCGTTTCTGGATGGGCTGGTGGGGATACGCGAAGCGTCAACAATTTCCCATACACTGTGCAACAACAAACAGAACCATGACCCCAAAAACGAAGCGAATGCAACACAATGTGCACGCCTCCTGAGAGCCGAAACCGTGTCACGGCGTCGTGCGAAATCACAACACGTCGCCAAGATGCTGCATTTTTCACGTCAAATAGATCCGTGAGAGTTCCTGGGCCAGAAGCGGGAGAAGCGGGCCCATCATCACCATCCCCCGACATCAGACGTCGCGATGTTCCTCACAACGTGGACTCAACAGTCTGGACCCATGCCCTGGGACCAATTCGTCATCCAGAGTCGTCTTTTAACGGCCCCGAACCCTGGTGAACGAGGATCCCTGGAAGATGGAAATTGCAAACCAAAGAAGAAACGTCCTGTATGATATGTCCGCAGCGCGAGGATGCCAGGGTTCTCGCGACGCCCAGATCCGAGAACACGAAAAATGAAAACGACAGCTGCAGAGCCCCCTCCGTCCGAAGCGCTGACCAAATCCTGGGGAAGGGCCTGCACCTCCACCTCGTGCTAATCCTTATCCAACTCCCCCTGCTCCTGCCCCCTATGACACCCCCCTCCTTATCCTCACCATTGTCTTTTTCCTACTCCTCTTTTTCCTCCTCCTCCGCCTCCTCTTCCTCCTCCTCCTCCTCCTCCTCTTCCGCCTCCTCCTTTTACTCTGATTGCTCTGAAGGCATGAGATCCCTCCAGGTGTTGCCGTTCGTCCCCGCCTGCGGGCGCCGCATGGCGCTGCAGGCGGGTACCAAATCCGAAAATGGACCGATCACCGTGGATGGGGCCGGCGACAGACAAAGGGGGAAAAACAGACGGGGGCCCGAAAGAAAGAAAAAGGCGATAAGGGCTACGAGCGGACGGGCCGAGCGCAGGAGGGGAGGAAACGAAGGGGGGCCCTGCGGGACGGCGGTGGCGGCGCGCTCTTCGTCCTCTCTGCGCCTCCGTCACGTCCACCCTCTTGGCGCCCGCTTGGGGCGTTGGGCCCATGTGGCCCCGCTGTTCCCCCCAGGGGCGCTGCAGCTGCAGGCCGCGGCGGGCCCGGCTGTACCACCTCCCGAAGGCCGCCGACGCCCCGCCCCTCCCTCCGTGGATGGGCGGCACTCTCACCTTGGAAGGGACAACGACGATGATTGTGCTGGCGTTGGAGGTGGTGTCCATTGCGCAGGAGGTGAGACCGGTGCGTGAGTTCCGACGAACCCCTCCTGCATTCTTCATGAGGAAGGTTTTAACCAATCCACAACGATTCCTATTGAAGGCCAATGCAAAAGGTTTCCCATGGAGAACCGCTACACAGAGTCCTATTGAGATCATCTGCGAAGAGGATCCCTATTGAGAGCCTCTACAACAACTATTCCGATTGAGAGCCTCTACGTAGGGATTCCGCTTGAAAGCCTCTACACTCTACAACAAGATTCCTAGCGAAAACAAATTCCAAAAGATTCCGATATGGGAACCTCTACGAAAGGATTCCCATTGAAAGTTTCTACACGCGGATTCCTACTGATAGCCTCTACGAAACGATCCATATTGAAATCATATACGCAATGGTTCCGATTGAGATCCTCAACGTCAAGGATTCCTAACGACAGCAAATGCATAAGGCTGCACAACAAATATTCATTTTGACAGCCTCTACAGAAGGATTGCACTTGAGAGCCTCCACATAATGATTCCGATGGAGAACCTCTACATAAGAATCCTATTGAGAGCCTTTACGCAAGGATTCTTGCTGATGGGTCTCTACATAAGGATTCCTATTGATAGCCTCTACAAAAGATTGGTTTTGAAATCTTACACAGAAGGACGTCCAACAAACCTTCCAAAACAAAAAACAACCTCACGAAAAATCCATGACCCCTGGGACATTCCAAAAGGAAACAAAAACATCCAACATACCTTCCCCACGAAGGACCCAATATTCCTGGAGCCGCACCCCCCCAACCCTAAGGAAAATCCAGGATTCCTGGAATCCTCCAACAAAAACCTTCCAACAAAACAAAAGGAAGGAAAACAAACACTCCTCACGAATAACGCAGATTCTTTAAATTTCCAAATATCCTCCAAAACCGTCTCCACGAAGAATCCACGATTCTTGGAACCTTAAAAGAAAACCTTCTAGCATAAAAACCCTCACGAAGAATTCGACATGTCTACAACCTTCCCAAAACAAACCTTCCAATCCCTCCTCACGAAGAAACTGGATTCCTGGAGCCATCTAAAAAACCTTCCCCAAGACCCTCCTCACGAAGAATCCAGGATTCCTGGAACCTTCCCAAGCAACCTTCCAAACACCTTCCTCACGAATAATCCAGGATTCCTGGAACCCCCCCAAACAAAAAACTTGGCAGAACCCCTCCTCGCGAAGAATCCATTGTTCCTGGAAGCTTCCAAACATCATTCCAGAAACCCTCCTCGCGAAGAGTCCAAGATTCCTTGGACGTTCAAACAAACCCTTCAAAAACCCTCCTCGCGAAAAATCCCGGATTCCTGGGACCTTCCAAAAAACCACCCAAACCCCCCCCTCGCAAAGAATCAACGATTCCTGGAACTTCAAAAAAAAACATCACCAACAAAACCTAGAACTTTCAAACAACAAAAAAACTTCACCAAAAAAACCCTCGCGAATAACCCATGAATCCTGGAACCTTCCAAAAAAATCCCCCATGCGCCCTCCTCGCGAAGAATCCCGGATTCCTCGAACCCGTCACAAAAAAAAAAATGCAAAATTCCAGAAACCCTCCTCGCGAAGAACCCAAGATTCCCGGAACCTCCCAAGAAACCTTCCAAGAAGCCCCCTCGCGAAGAACCCAGGAGGGGTTGGCCGAACTGCCGCGCCCAACTGCAGGAGGTGGCCCTTGTGGGAGGTGGCGCCGGGGCAGCGTCTCCGACGGCGGCGGCGGCGGTGGCTCGCGAGATGGGCGCCGGCAGGGCGCGGGTCGACGAAGATGCCGAGGTCGCGTCGGGGCGGGCGGAAGCGCCGCGCAGCCCGCGCCGCCCCGAGGCCCGTCACCGCGCGAGCGGCCTCGTCCTCGCTTCGGGGTCCGAGGACTGCGCGGCCCGAGGGGGAGGGCGAGGGCGGGGGGGGCGCCGGCGTCAATTGCTGGTCGCCGCCCAGGGAATTCACCACGCGGCAGAAGTGGCCCCCGCCTTGGCGGCAGAGATGCCGGCTGCAGTCGTGGCGCTGCCGCCGGCCAGTCGCGGTGCACGTTATGTTGCTGGCTGCGGGTGGGGCGTCTGGTTGGGGGCCGGGTGGGGCGCCGATCGCGGCGCTGCCGCCCGCCGCCCCGGCGCTGCTGCTCGCCCGTCGGAGCGGGGCGTCGGGGGCAAATAATCGGGCGAGGCTCAGAAGCCACGCTGGCGCCCATGCCGGAGTCGATGCCGGCGTTTGCGATGACGCAGACGGCTGCGCTGGAGGCCGCGCCATCTTCGATGCGGGTGCTGGCGTTGAAGATGGCGCTGGCGTCGGTGCCCAGGTCTGGGCCGGCGTCGGTGCCGGGGTCAGTCCTAGCGCGGGCGTCGCGCTGCTGCCGGTCGCCATCGTGCCCGTCACGGGGATGCTGCTTGTTGCGGCCATGCTGAACAGGATGGCGCTGCCGACTCCCGTCGCGCTGCCCCCGCTCCGCGCCCCTCGTCGACGGCGGCCCCCGCGGCCCCCGCCGTCGCCGCCGTGGCCCCCAGGCCCCCGGCCCTCCAGGTCGCCCCCCGCTGCCCCCGCTCCGCGCCCCTCGTCGACGGCGGCCCCCGCGGCCCCCGCCGCCGCCGCCGCGGCCCCCTG